GCATTTCTAGCACCATGGAAAGTTCTGTTGGACAGTGCTCATTCAGTAGGAGTAAGTTTCCCCAATATGTTTTATTTACTTTTCCCCCCTAATATGTTTCAGAAAATAAAATTGAGAGTACTGACCCTCCCCTAAATTATATCAACTATATAATAAACAATAGAGAAAAATAATAAATCTGAGAAAAAAATTGTATATATTTCTGTTTTCATAAAGCGGACTTCAAGTTTCCCCCATCAAGCAGACACATACACAAAAAAAAAAATGTTAAAACCCAGCAGGATTATATTTAAAACAGTTCTTTGGTGTAATTGGTGAAGAAGATTTCCAGCGTGTGTTGGGCATGCCTGGTTGTGCTCAGCGGGAGAGAGGAAAAGGCCCTTAGATGCTGCAGCCATCCTCCTGAAAAGCAAACCTTCTCTTGTCACCTTCATCAAGTTAGGACTAGTGCATCCAGCAAAAAGCAAAACAACATGAAAGTAACTGGGGCCTAAAGCAGACAGAGTTTGCTTCTATCACACAGAGACACAAAGGGAGATCCAGAGGTAGGTATCAGGACCCAGTACCATTGGCACCTGGCTCCGTCTTCAAGGCCACTTTGTGGTTCTAGAGGGCTGTGAGGCTGCCACTCTCAGGGCAGACAAGGCAAAAGAGAGGAACCCCTGGGGCTGAGTCAGTGCTTCTAAACCACAGTGCACTTGAAGCTGATTGGCCAGAACTTAGTCACATGCCTGTAGCAGCTGCTAAAGAGGTTGGGATGCGTCATTTTTATTCTGGATGGCAATGAATCCAGTTAAAAATCAGGGCTTTGTTACCGAGGAGAAAGAGCAGAATGGATGTGGGAGTAGGCAGCTCGCCTACTTCTGCCACGGATAAGCCTCCCCCCACCCCTCTGCGGCTTAACGACCTCTGTGGGCTCCTTGTTGGTGGGTTAAAGCTTGCACTTCTCAAAGTGAGTGGTCTGCAGACCAGCAGCATCAGCATCATGTGGGAGTATGTTAGAAATGCAGACTCTCAGTGCGCCCCAGACCTGTTGAATTAAAACCTACATTTTACCGGGATCCCCAGTTGGTGCCTTTGCACATTCAGTTTGAGACGCAGTGGGATAGAGTCCAAACTCAAGTTTGGAATGCAAGCACTTGTAGTTTGCCTGGACCCCTACCTACACAGCTTGCTTTCTCGAGGTGGAGCCCTGGCTGTACCAAAATTCTCACTGTCCCTTGCTTTGGTGCATTTTTGCCCTCATTTTTCCTTCTTCTTGAAATGTCTTTTGCCTGTTTGTTTACCTAGCATCTTCTGAGAAGCAGCCCAAAGGTCCTGTCCTCTGGGAAGCTTTGTGCAATCCCCCTTACAGGGGGCCTCTTTTCTGGGCTCTCAGCACCTTGCCCAAACACCCATCAAGTCACACATGACGCCGTTTAGTAATTGGGTTTCGTGTCTGGCTTCCCCACCAGCAAGGAAGCTCCTCAAAGCAGCAGCCCGGTCACCTTTTATCTTCCAAGTGCTCAGAACAGTCCCTGGACCCTAATAGGGGCTCCATAAAGGTTTGTTAAATTACCGCCTAACTTTATTGAGTGCTTATGTTCTTCCAGGTTCTAAGTGCTTTAGATACATTGTTTCAATTAATCCCTACAACCACCGTCAGAAGTAGGTGGTATAAACCCATTTTGCAGATGAGAAAATCAAGCCTTAGGAAGGTTAAACCATTTGCCCTGAGTTCACTAGTAAGAGGCACCATGAGCCTCTGAGACTGCAGATCTGGGACTCCTAGCAGCCTCAGAGCAGAAAGAACTGAGACCTGGATGTCTGGGGAAGAAGCAGGGGAAGGTGGCCAGGTGGGATGGGCAACTCCTCATCCCGTGGAAGCAGCGATACCTGCATCTCAGGTGCCTGCTCTCTGACTTGTAGTACGGATGGGGGGGGTTCCTGGGGCAGACAGGTAGCCTCCTAGCCTTTCTTGCTCTTCCCCCCTCACTTCCCCATCCCCTGGCCCAGCCCATGCAGGTGCTGTTCTCGGGTGAGGCCACTCACCGCAAGTACTACTCCACCACCCATGGTGCTCTGCTCTCTGGCCAGCGCGAGGCTGCCCGTCTCATCGAGATGTACCAGGACCTCTTCCAGCAGGGGACCTGAGGGCCCTCTTCACTCCTGAGCGTGTTCCTTAAAGAGCCACTAACTCGTGACTGCCAGCCCTGCCCTTTGCTGCCGTGTGCTCCTAATTTCCTAATCCACTGTAGAATGGATTTGTACCTTTCATAGAGCTAGACACCCCGACTGGCTTCAGATCTGGTCCTGTAGCTTTTCCTTTTCTCTGTGCCGGGTGGTGACCAGGGTGGGGCCCGTTGATTTACCTCTGTGCTCTGACCTCTGACCTCTGACCTCCCTGTGCCTCCCCTCCCCTCCTGCCTTGTCATTGTAAGTGCCTTCAATACTTTGCATTTTGGGATAATAAAAGAGGCTTGCCCTTCCCGTACCCCTCAGCTCGTCTCTTCCATTTACCTCAGCCTCTTACGTGTGTGTCTGTACTTTGTGTTAGCATATCCTCTTTGAATGAGGGGATGGTGGGAGGGCTGTGGCCTGGCTGTGCCCCCAGAAGGTAGGGTGCCTGCCTTACTGGAAGGGGTCTCCCCTCACCTCAATCTGTTTGTGGTTGTTTGCCTTCCTGCCGGCGAGACCCCTCAGGGATAAGGGCTCCTCACTTGACTCAGCTCAGCTCCTTCAGGATGGGCCTGTGTCTGCCCACCGGCCCTTTGCTGGACTACTCAGAGCCCTACTGGGTGGCATGGCCACATGGAGCGAAGGTGAGTTCCATGGGAGGGGACATCTGTTGTGGCTCCATGCCAGCCTCAGATGCATTAATTATCAGTCAGTGTCACCTGGCTCTGGGGCCCTAGGTCTGACCTTTGGGGTGGCTGCTGTTGACTTCTGGGAAGGTGGATAGGGTGGCCTTTTTTTTTTTTGTGATATACCTAAGTATTTCTCACCTGCTGTATTCCAAGGGCCTATCACTTATGGGGGGCAGAAGGGGGGCGAGTAGTCTTTTCTGCTATTTCTTTACTGAATGAAAGCACACACATCGCATATACATACAGTCACTTGCACACGTGTGCACACACGCATACACTCACCTGTGTGCACACACAGTACATCCACACATCCACACACCTACATACACTCACCCCCACACAGATACAGCACCCCACACCCTTACAGCTACACACAACTACATTGACATACACATGCACAGAACCTTAAAGAACAGTTAGTCATTTTATTACTGCAGATTTGACTCCAGATTGCTAATGATAGAGTTTGAATTGTATAGACTTGGGGGGTTTGGGTGGTGGAGGAAATTGTGGAAATCCAGGTTCGGCACCCCGTCCCCCACCCCCCTCCGGCCTGACTCTGTGTGCACTTAGGTTGGGCTCCCTTCTCACAAGTTGAAGGCACTGCCCCTAACAGGACTCTACATCCTGTCCCCTGTTTCCTTGGGTTATGGTGGAGATGTCTAACACATAGACACGCCTACACACATGCCTACCTGCACTTCCCGACACACCCTCCCTGCATGCACACCCGCCATGCCCACACAGCTAACAGGTGTCCTTGCTTCACCAAGGTTGGTCCCCCCTGGAGTTTAGGTCAGGGGTTCATAATCGCCTGCCACATAGCTTAAAAGATTGTAACTGTATAAAAATTATAGGAGGAGCTAAAGATGTGGTTCAAGCTCAAAGTCATGAAAGGATCCGTGGAGACCCCTCCCTCCACACCTGCCCCCAGTACCACTGTTGCTCCCCACACCCCACGTGATTAGTGCCTTGTGTGTCCATTTCTAGATATGTCAATATAAAGATGGGCCCTGCTCTCTCCTTTTTGCACAAAAGTGACCAAGTATTCATCCTGTCCTGCATTTTGCTTGTTTTAGTCAACATAATGTATCTTGGAGATCATTCCATAACAACACTTAAACAGACCACGTAAATTTGGACCTTGCTTTGGTCCAGGGGTGTATCTCCCTCCTGGCCCAGAGTTGCTTTGCAAGAAGCATCCTCTGTTAACTTGGCCTTGGGAGGCAGTGATCCAGTGTGCGCCCTCCCCGTGTCCTGGATTTTCCCCACTAACTGTGGTGGGATGGGTGGAAGTGGCCTGTCACAGAAGTATGGGGGAAGAAAGTAATAGGTAGATTCTGAGGCTCACTGGCAGGGGAATTTTAAAGGACTCTATGAGGGTCAGAGGGCTATAAATGTTTATTCTATGATTGCACGCTGGGGAGCATCAGGTGTGGGTAGCGAGGAGGGAGGGAATAGTCACTTAGATAGAGCTGGCCACCTGCCAGTCAAGGTGCTAGTTGTTAATGCTGGGTGCACGGGTCTCTTAATTTGATATGGATGCCAACTCAGGCTGGGGAGGGCAGTTTATCCCCATGGGGAGACAAGTCTTACAAGAGTTAAGTAATGGCACCCAAGGTCATGGAGGTCTGACTCCACATTGCAGGCTCATTCTATTTATTGAACCATGAAAAGAAGAGGCTGGTGCCACCAAAAAAAAAAAAAAAAAAAAAAAAAAAAAAGAAAGAAAAGGAAAGAAACCTGAGGCCATTGCTGGAGAGAGTGGAAATGGGCAAGCCACACTGGGAAACTCTGTGGCAGATTCTACTGAAACTGGCATGTGCCCACCCAAGGGATAAGAATGCATATGCCCACCAAACTTATGTACCAGAATGTTCATAGCGACATAGTTTGTAATAGCTAAAAACTGGAAGCGGCTAGATGTCCATCCATAGTAAAGCAGGCGAACCGTATTACCTCCATACAATGGAATACTACGTAGCAATAGAAAAACACAAGTTGATATTTGCAACATTGATTCATTTCAAAGACATCATGTTGAGTGAAAGTAGCCAGTCACAAGGCTATATGCTGTATGTTTTTTTTTTCTGTGAAGTTGAAGAACCTATAAAACTATCGTGTTAGATATGAGGGGACAGAGCAGTGCCTGGGAGGGAGTACAGGGATGCTTTCTGGTTACAGAACTATTCCATGTTTTGATCTGGGTGGTGGTTGCATGGGTGCATACGTTCGTAAAAATGCACTGGGTTACACACTGAAGGTTTATGCACTTTTCTGCGTGTGTGATATAACTCAATTTATGAAGTTTAAAAAAGAGTCTGAGGACATCCTTCCCTCCACCCTTCCATCCAAAAATATACGGTTGTGTTGACCCAACAAATCTCCTCCTTGCAACAGGGATGACATCCTGAGAGCAGATAAAGGGAGGAAGGACCTACTTATGTCCCTCTGGCTGCCTGGTGATAAGGACGGGCCTTGTGTTTACTAGTGTGTCACCATTTATCAGACTCCTTGCCTATGCCCCCTCATCTAGGCACCTGCAGCCATGTGAGGGAGGTGGGGACTGTTTCACAGCAGGGGAAATTGAGGTTCCCAGGACAGTGTGGGATTGTGCAAGGCCATGCAGCTTGCAGGGGATGCCATCTGAGGGGGAAGGGAACAGCCCTGGGGGAAATGTGGGGACAGGTATGGGAGTGGTGGCCCTGGAGAGTTTGCCAGAGCCGTCCAGGGTGCTGCCTCCCTATCAAACAATCATTTAATGTGGGTAGCATTTATGATTGGCAGCTTCAAAAACAGATTTGAGGCAGGGGTGCCTGGGAGGCTCAGTCGGTTAAGCGTCCGACTTCAGCTCAGGTCACGATCTCATGGTTCACGAGTTCGAGTGCCGCGTCGGGTTCTGCGCTGACAGCACAGAGCCTGGAGCCTGCTTTGAATTTTGTGTCTCTCCATGTCTCTGCCCCTCCCCAGCTCATAATCTGTCTCTCTCAAAAATAAATAAAACATTAAATACACATATTTGAGGCAGATAAATGCAAGGGCCATTCAGAAGCAAGACAGATTAGATGTACCAGGAACACGGGATGAATTCCTTGCTGTGACTAAGTCTCTGAAGCAGCCTTGGCCTTGATTGAAACTCAAAGGACTCTATCAGGGGTGGCAAATGTGGCATGCTCGGGCCAACACCCACGTCAACGCCTGCTTTACATTTCCTGTCACCTAGAGAAGGTCACGTGAGAGGAAATTTCTTTTCTGGCCGTAGGATTCTAGTAGGATAGTTGCATGATGTCTTGTGCTGTGGGCATCAGTGACTTCATGAGCAAGGCTTTCAGTTGTGGCCACGTGGAAGCCTCAGAATTGTTTCTTCAAGGGGCCTGGGGTACTTGGCAAGTACCGTGCCTCTCCACCTTTGCTGCTATGGGACAGGTTAACAGCTCCTACTTCGTGGGAGCCACTTGGAATGTCTGCACTGTGTACAAAGGTAGGAGAGAAGCATCTCTGATTTGAGTTTCCCTGCATTGACTGACTTGGGCCTGTTGAGACGAGCCCAAGGGTAAGCCCAAGGTGCAGAGAGAGGTGGGCTGCTGGTTCAGTTCTAGAGAACCGCCTGCCTAATTAATGGTCTGCCAAACATAATGGTAGAGTTACACGAGGCCGTGTTTTCTCATAATGACCGGCTGTGCCGTTTGTTGAGGCTGCTCTTGATTTGGGCAGGGTAATCTAATCTCAACAGAACGGAAGACTTGTGGCCCTAAGGTGGCATCCAGGACATCTGAGCTGATGGTAGGCATTTAATGTAAGAAAGGAAGGGGTTGCTTCATACTGTTTAACTGGAGATGCGGATACAAAATCTGCTCTCGCCTTTCATGATTTTGGCAGTGGTTGTCGGACGCTGATTTTGCAGGTGTGTTCAAAACCTGGCTTTCTGTTAGGGGATGCAAAATGTCAGGCATGTTTTATTTCAATGAGCTCAGTATTGGAGCAATTTTGAGGCAACCCTCTTAGATTTCCCTTGTTTGTTCTCCCCTTCAACTCCCGAACCCCCCTGTCTCCTCACTGTCAACAGACAACAATGTCTCCCAAAGTGTCCTTCTTCATAGGCTCACTAGAAGCCATTGGAGGCAACTTCCTCTGCGGGTCTACAAATAGCTAATCTAAACACCCATCCTTATAGGGACCACCCCTATCCCTCCCCCCGACTCCCCCATCCCTGACCCCAAAGGAAGTATGTGACCCTCCACTTGTGCATCTCATGTTCCAAACTCAGGGACCTTGCCTCACCTTTCCCTCTCCCCCTTCTCTCTACTCCATCCTTCCCATCCACATTTCAAGATGCTCTTGTCTTTCCATCACCCTCTCCTCTTTCTACCACCTTCCCTTGCCTTCCTTTCATGCTAGTGTTTCTACACTTGCTCTCTGCATTCTCACTATCCTTACCCTAGCAGTTGGTGGTGGGGATCCTGAGGTTGCAGACACACACACACACACACACACACACACACACACACACACACTGGAAGGCCTGGGTTGGCTCCCCTTCTCACTAAGGCTAGCAGAGGAGGGAGGATCCCTGCTGACTCCAGGGTCTCTTGAAGTGAGGACAACCTCATCGTTTGAAACCTGTCCTTTGGCGC